GGAGGAGGAGGAGGAGGAATGGAGGGGGGGAGGCTTGCCTGGCTGGCTGGCTGGCTGGCAGGCAGCAGGGGGGGGCAAAGGCGCCCCCTCTTGCCAGGCGGGCCGCCACCCTCCCCTCCCTGCCCGCCACCCCCAGTGCTGGGCAGCGGCTCCTCCCTTCGGGGCCAGCAGTCCGCCCTCTCCGCCTGCCGGGCCGCCCTCCGCTGGGAGAAGCGGCATCGGGCAGGGCAGGCCGCTCGCAGACAGCAGCAGCAGCAGCGCCGAGTCCCACTTCCCGCTGGGAGAGCCCGGCGCTGCCAGGCTGCGGGAGAGATCGCTGGATCCCGCTGGGCTGGCGTTCTCTTTGGTCCTCCGTCCCGGGCGTCTTTTGGCTTCTGAGTTCCCCGGAGCGCTGGGCTGGGATCCTCAGGGTTATATGGGGCTTCAGCCCGGCCCTAGGTTGCGCTCTGGGTGCCAAGGCGGGAGAGCAGGCGGTGCGCTGGGATGCTGGCCTGCCCCACGCCGTGTGAGTGCGAGCCCCCCTCGGCCCTGGCAGGCAGAGAGGAAGCCCCTCGCCCAAGGGACGGAGAGCTCCCCGGGAGTTTCACTCCCGTATTATTATTTTTGCCGGAGCGGAGGCGAGATATGAAAGAAACGGAGTGTGAACCCCTCGGAAAACGAGGACCTTCTGCCGTTAAGGAAGTCCCGGGGGGGGGGACTGTTTGCTCCCCCCCCCGCCCAAAGAGACTTACGGTTACCGAGAGCGGAGCTCCCAGGACCGCAGTTCTGCGCTCGGCCGGAGCTTTTGGGGAGCCCCGCGAAGTGCTTTAAGCACGATCGATTTAACACGGAACAAGCCAGCTTTCCCAAAGGTAGCCCACTGAACTGCGTTTCCTGGCCTGTTTTTCAAGGAGGAACTTCTGCACCCTTGCAGTCTGTGAAGATGATACACACAGTCGAAAGAAAATAATCACCGCTGATTTCAAAAGCCGGTTTCCAAATGGGTGTACACGGTGGCAGCTGCCTACACATTAGAAACAGAATAACGTGTGTATTCCGTTTAGGGCTGGATTTTCCTTCCAAAGAGTCTCCAT